AACATGTAATATATCACAAATTATAATATATAATGTCATTTAGAATTTCGTGATCACAGATACTGTAAAATAGATTTAAATTATGCGACGATTTAAAATTCAAAAATACTGATTTCAACTACTTTATCAACTATTTTATTATAAGAAAATAGATTACGTCAAATTTTGGAGTATTTTCTTGTTTTCCTGTTTGACCTAATTTGAAGTTGAGTTCTCACTAAAGCAATAGACAATTGTGTGAAAAATTTCAATTAGGAAAAATCAACAATAGAATTATCGACAGTGATTGTCGATAATTCTATAATACTGAGGATTTCAATTGTGATTAATAAGAGTGATATTATTTTTAAGGAATGTTAGAGTGATATTAGTTTTAAGCAATGCTAGTAATTTTATTTGCAGTAATCAGGTGCTTTCTACGATTTGGTTTCCTTAATGATATAATATGAATGCGCAAAGAGTATTGACGAGTTCTTTACTATAGTAACTTATTTTGGATCACCAAGATTTTGTATTTCGTATTAAATTTCATATTGTGACAGATATTAATAATGGAATTGAATTTAGTAAAAAATTCCAAAATTAGGCGATTGATTTACATTTCTATCGACTTCATTTTCAGTAATATCAGTAAAGGGTTAAATTGCCTACTCACCAATACTGTTCACTTTATCTGGATGTTTCTTCAGTTCCATAAGCATGTTAATCATGTCTGGTCTATTTACGTTATTCTCTTCTCTGTACTGCATCGTGCTTCGCACCAGATTGATGAAAAAATTGTTAACTTCTGCCGATTGTAGAAATCTGCCTAACACTTTCATCAGCCATGGCGCAAGTTGTCTACAAATGTTCCGTGCTTGTGGTTTAAAGTCTCTGAAAATTCGTCTGCCCATTTTTCGAAATTCGCTGTCTTCGTCCTCAAGTGCGTTCATGCTGACCCCAAACGCGCAGCTCCCGATCACGTCGGTCGTGAATTTCGCAGACATTTCATGGCATTCCACTGGCTGGCCACTGTCTGATACTCTGTCTAGAAACTTTTCTAAATTTCCCGCGCATTCTACGACAAGAGGAAACATCTCTTTAAGCTTGCCAGATGTAAATATCGGTGATAGTTTCGACCTTAGTGGCCTCCATCTCTCGGACTCCAAAAAGAACAGATGCTGCGCCAGCGGCTCTATCTAAATATTAAATTGTTACAGAAATTTTAGCTTCGGAAAGTGATCTGCCTATTCGTCTCGAGTTTCTGAAAATATTGTGTCAGTATCGCGATACACTGGCTTCTATCCAGTATGTTGATTCAGTAATAAAAAAAATTGTTCAAAGTTTTCATACATT